TGAAAAATCAATTTTTAATCATCAATTTTAAAATTATTAAAAAATTAAAGTTTTATAGAAATATAAAATAAACAATAGAGTAAGAGTAGTGTTTTAGTAAGTAAAAAAATGTATATTTCAATCATTTCAACATTACATTAGATTAAAATATTTTTTTATAAAAAATTTATTAAATAACTTTTTATTTTGAAAGTATTTTTAAACAAAATTTTACCAAATAATTTGTACTTTTCAAAAACAAAACTTCTATAATAGGTTCTTTCAAATAGAATTTCCATTAAAAACTTCAATAACATCAAACGGACTTAGCTTAAGAACTTGAAATTGCGGGTGAATAATTTTAATTTTGAAGTGTTAAAGTATAGCAATGATAAAAAATAAATACAACAAAATTAACAGTTATTACTTATAGTTAATCAGAAACCAGAGCCTGGATCTCTTCCTGCCAATTGTCAATCGATTGTACTGAACTCTGCATTTCAAAAGGACTCAATTTCAGCCATATACACCTAAAAATCAATTTATCTATAATGGAAAAAAAAAAGTGCAAAGCCCTAATGAAAATTAAATGAAGTTCTTAGTCAAAAAAACTTACTAGGGATTTATTAGAGCTGAGTTCCTTTCTATTATGGTGATTTAGACAGAAACTCTTTTTGCTATTCACTTCAATCTTAAAAATTGTTTTCTTTTTAGCAACTAAAGCAATAAAGGATGCAAATGATAGAAAAGAAAATGAAATGAAATAAAATATGGCTGTCTAGGTAAGGAAAAAAAAAAAACCTGAAAGAGTGGAAACAGGCGGTAGAGGGCTGACGAAGTGTTCTCCAATGGTCAAGTCAGCAAAGCAAAGGCACATGTTACAACAATATAAGATTTCAAATTGATAACAGATTCATTATATGAAGTAAACATGCTCCAAAGAAACAACAGTAGAAATCCCATTAACATAACATGCTTAATAATTGATGACAACTTACAACACAACAAATTACCAAAAGAAATAGAACCAAGTTCATCCAGTTAAAAAAAATACATAAATTGAAAAAAAAAATAAGATTATTGTCACGTGAGTTCCGTTTTCTTTTGCATTTTTTTTTTTTTTGG